GGAGGGCAGTGGTGCAATCTTGGCTCACTGCAGCCTCCACCTCCTGGGCTTAGATGATCCTCCCGGGCTCAGATGATCCTCCCACCTCAGCCTCCTGAGAAGCAGGGATTATAGGTACATACCACCATGCTTAGCTGATTTTTCTACTTTTAGTAAAGATAGGGTTCACCATGTTGCCCAGGCTGGTTTTGAACTCTTGAGTTCAAGCGAGCTGCCCGCCCCCTTTTCCCGCAGTGCTGATTCCAGGCGTGAGCCACCGTGCCTCGGAACGCCTTTTCTTTCTTTGTTGGCTCACGTTCACCTGAGAGGTAATAGCAACGAGTCGCCCCAAGGTTGCCTCTGTCTCTTAACTCAATATTCTGTGATTGTTGTCTGGTCCCCACCAGAATATACGTTCTGTAAGGGCAAGGATTTGGGCAGTGTCTAGAATAATACTTGGAATACAGTAAGCCACAATAAACATGAATGATGGCCCAATGCATAGGGGAGCCCCTCCCACTCGATAACATGCCACCCAGTTTTACTTGCTCTGTAGCGGTTACTGCACTCTGAAGGTCTCCACACACACGAAGCGGGACCAAAGCAAGGACCTTCTGCCTGTAGAATAGTGCTGGGCTGGCTTACCTACATGTGTCCGTCAACGGATGAATGGACACTCAAAATGGGTGTATCCATACCCTGGAATGTTGTGCGGCCAGGAACATGCTCCAGTGTGGATGGACCTTGAGGACAGCATGCTCAGTGAAAAGAAAAGGCAGCCACCAAAGGCACGTTCCATGTGATCCTATTCATATGACACATCCAGAGGAGGCACATGCGTAAAGACAGAAGGCAGATAAGTGGTGGCCAGGGGCTGGGTGGACGGCAGGGAGTGACTTCCAGAAGGATCCTTTTAAGGTAATGGAATATCCAGAAACTGGATTGTAGTGATGGGTGCACAGCTCTGCATATATACTAGAATCATTGAACTGCATACACAAGATGGGTATATTTTATTGCATATAAATTGTATCTTAATAAAGCTGTCAAGAATTTTACTTAGAATAGCATTTTTCCACACTGCCATCAATTTAATATAGGATTCATTCGTTTCTGCCTGTATTCAGGGTTTGTCACATTTTGCTTGCTAATTAAAATTTTTTAATGTTTAATTATTGTGGGTACATAAAAGGCGTATCTATTTATGGGGTACACTGATTTTTTTTTTTTTTTTTTTTTTGAGACGGAGTTTCGCTCTTGTTACCCAGGCTGAAGTGCAATGGCGCGATCTCGGCTCACCGCAACCTCCGCCTCCTGGGTTTAAGCAATTCTCCTGCCCCAGCCTCCTGAGTAGCTGGGATTACAGGCACGCACTACCATGCCCAGCTAATTTTTTGTATTTTTAGTAGAGACGGGGTTTCACCATGTTGACCAGGATGGTCTCGATCTCTCGACCTCGTGATCCACCCGCCTCGGCCTCCCAAAGTGCTGGGATTACAGGCTTGAGCCACCGCGCCCGGCCCACTGATGTTTTAATGCAGACATACGATGTATAATAACTCTCAGTGACTAGGGTAGCCATCCCCTCAAGCCTTTATTATTTCTTTGTTAGGAGCATTCCAATTCTACTCTTTTTGTGATTAAAAACATACAATACACTCTTATTAACTATATTCACCCATTGTGCTGGCGAACACTAGATCTTATCTATGCTAATTAAATGTTTTCCCTATTTCTCCCATTGGCTACAGCCTAGGACAGTGCAGTGTGAGAACCAGGAAACTGGCCTTGGTCTAGGGTCATTTTGTCGCCTGAGAACATTCATGTAACCACCATCACAATTAAAATGCAGAACAGTTCCCTCACCACAACAATCTCTCTCCTACCCCTTTTGAGTCATGCGACCCAATTCTGTCATTCTGTGACGTGAGTGGATGTACGTCGTGCAGTTCATACAGTGTCCACCCTTGGAGATGTTTTCCTCCCTGGTGTAATTAATGCCTTTGGGTTCATGCAGGTGACTGCACGTATCAGTGGTTAGATCCTTTCTGTTGCTGAGCAGTGTTCTGTGGCATGGATGAACCACGGTTTGTTTAACCATTCAGGTGTCGTAGGACATTTGGTTGTTTCCAGTTTGGGTTAGTCATGTACAGGCTTTTGTGTGGATACACCTTTATTTCTCTTAAGATAAATGTTTAGGAATGCGGTTGCTGGGTCATAAAATTCTTAAAAAGAAACTGTCAAACTGTATTCCAGAATGGCCGCACTATTGATAAACCACCAGCGGTGTATGAGAGATCTAGTTACTCCAAAACTAGATTATTCCCAGCATTTCTCATGTTATTCGCCGCATTTGACATTGCTGTATGTTATTTCAGCTGTTCTAATAGGCGAAGGAGATATCCCAAGGTAGTGGTTTTTTTGTTTGTTTGTTTGTTTTGAGAAAGAGTCTCGCTGTGTCACCCAGGCTGGAAATGGTTCAATCTTGGCTCACTACAAACTCTGCCTCCTGGGTTCAAGCAATTCTTGTGCCTCAGCCACCCAAGCAGCTGGGGCTACAGGCGTGCGCCACCAGGCCTATCTAATCTTTTTTTTTTTTTTTTTTTTTTTTTGGAGACAGATTGTCATTCTCACCCAGGCTGGAGTGGCATGATCTTGGCTCACTGCAATCTCCACCTGTAAGGTTCAAGTGATTCTCTTGCCTCAGCCTCCCGAGTAGCTGGGACTACAGGCGCACGCCACCACGACCGGCTAATTTTTTGTATTTTTAGTAGAGACAGGGTTTCACTGTGTTAGCTGGGATGGTCGCAATCTCCTGACCTCGTGATCTGCTCACCTTGGCCTCCCAAAGGGCTGGGATTACAGGCTCGTGAGCCACCGCACCCAGCATAATTTTTTGTATTTTTTTTTGTTGTTGTTGTTGAGACGGAGTTTCGCTCTCGTTACCCAGGCTGGAGTGCAATGGCACGATCTCGGCTCACCGCAACCTCCGCCTCCTGGGTTCAGGCAATTCTCCTGCCTCAGCCTCCTGAGTAGCTGGGATTACAGGCACGTGCCACCACGCCCAGCTAATTTTTTGTATTTTTAGTAGAGACGGGGTTTCACCATGTTGACCAGGATGGTCTCGATCTCTTGACCTCGTGATCCACCCGCCTCGGCCTCCCAAAGTGCTGGGATTACAGGCTTGAGCCACCGCGCCCGGCCTTTTTTTTTTTTTTTTTGAGACAGTTTCACTCTGTTGCCTGACTGGAGTGCAGTGGCACGATCTCAACTCATTTCAACCTGCACCTCCTGGGTTCAAGTGATTCTCCTGCCTCAGCCTCCTGAGTACCTGGGACTACAGGCATATGCCACCACACCCAACTAGATTTAGTATTTTCAGTAGAGACGGGGTTTCACCATGTTGGTCGGGATGGTCTTGATCTCTTGTCCTCATGATCTGTCTGCCCCATGCCTCCCAAAGTGCTGAGATTAGAGGCGTGAGCCACCACGCTGGGCCCCAATTATTGTATTTTTAGTAGAGACAGGGCTTCGGTATGTTGGCCAGGCTGGTCTCGAACTCCTGGCCTCAAGTGATTTGCCCCCTCAGCCTCCCAAAGGGCTCAGATTACAGTCGTGAGCCACTGTGCCCGGCCTAATTGTATTTTTTTTAACGTCAAGTTTTGAGAGTTCTTTATATAATTCTAAGCTACTAGTTCTTCGAGAACCGTGGTTTGAAAACATTTTCTCACAGTCTGTAACTTATCTTTTCATCCTTTCAGCGTGGTCTTTCTCAGAAGTTTTGTTTGTTTTGAGACAGAGTCTCACTCTGTTGCCCAGGCTGGAGTTCAGTGGCACGATCTTGGCTCATTGCAACCTCTGCCTCCTGGATTCAAGCCATTCTCCTTCAGCCTCCTGAGAAGCTGGGATTACAGGCGTGCACCACCACGCCTGGCTAAATATTGTATTTTTAGTAGAGACCGAGTTTACCATGTTGGCCAAGCTGGTCTCGAACTCGTCATCTCAGTTTGCCCACCTCGGCTTCCCAAAGCGTTGGGATTACAGGTGTGAGCCACCTCGTCCAGTGAAAAGTTTCTAATTTTCATAAAGTTTATTCTATCAATTCCTTTTGTGCATTGTGCTTTTTTGGTCAGATCTAAGAACTCTTTCCAAGCTCCAGATGTCAGAAATTGTTTTCTTCTAAAAGTTGTGTAGTTTTATTTATACATTTTACACTTGTCTGTGATCATTTTGAGTCAGAATTTGAATTTGCAGATAACATGATGGGCCATGTAGAAAATACAAGGATTTTACAACCAAAAAACCGCACACCATATACGCCCTCAAACCAAGGAGTTTCGCGAGGGCTCCGGGATCCGTCAACACAGAATTCATCACGTTTGTGTAGACCAGCCGTGAACAACGTCGCAGTCGCTCAGCCTGAAAACTCTAAGCCTAAAAGGTGCGGATTCCGGACGCTGAGGTCACAAAACACTGGTGGAAGAAATCAAAAGACCTAAGAGAACGGAGGGGCCGCGGCGGACGCAGGCGACGGGCCCGGCCCGCGATGCCGGCTTCCCACCAAAACCCCGGGAAGCTGCGTAGACAAGCTTGCGCTGAAATCCGCGGGGACCCGAGGCGCCCTCCAGGCCGCCACCTTCCCGACGGCGGAGGAGGGAAGGCGGGAGGCAGCTCCCCGGCGGCCGGCCCCGCCCGGCCCCGCGCCCCGCGCCGCCCGGCTTTGCTCTTCACCGGGGAAGCGGCGTCGCCTTCGCACCGGCCCCCGAAGCGCGAGGGGAGCCGGACAGGCGGAGGCGCGAGGCCGGGGCGGGAACCGCCCCCCGCCGGAGCCGCCCCAGAGGAGGGCGGGCGCAGAGGCCACGCCCACGCCGAGCCCGCCACGCCACTTCCGCCGGAAGCTCCGTTCGGCTTCCCGAAGGGTTTGGTCCTGGAATCCGGAAGTTGCGTTTCCAGGGACAGGTCCGCAAACGCTTGAAGTCACTTTCCGAAACCTGCCTCAGGCCCGTCTGAGGTGAGCTGGGTCCGGACCCTGCGGCCAGAGTGTCCCCGGCCATTGGGCGGCCGCTGGCAGGAGAAGCGAACATTCTCGGGTCCGGAACGAAAGCAGCGCATGCAGGACTTTTCCGGGGACCCCGAGGCCGCCGCACCGCGCGCCCCGCCCCCCCGCACGGCCACGTCTCCGCCGGAGTGTCCGGGCTGCCGCCGCGGCAGGGTGAGGGTCGCGGGGCCGCGCGCCTCGGGGTTCGGGCCCCCGCCGTGCAAGGGGCGGCTGCGGAGCGGCCCCGTTCCAGTCACCGCGCCGCGGCGGCCTCGGGCCCTCGGCCGCGGCGGAGCCGGCTCTGCGGACACGCGTGCCCGTGGGCCTCCCGAGTGCTGCGTGCCCGGCGGGCGCGGCCCGCCCGAAGCCGTCCGCTGGGCCCTCGAGCGCTGCCCGTGTCTTCAGTTCGGCCCTTGGCAGCTGACGAGCGTGACGCGGTGTCGCGCGGTTCGTGGGCAGCCGGGGTTTCGGGAGTCCGTGTCCTTCCTTGCCTGTCTGTGCCCGCGGCAGGCCGGTCTCTATTCCGGGTGCCCGGAGCGAGTGGGGCCGGGCGTTGTCCGGGTTTGAACCCGGGGACCGTCGGCCGTGCGGCGGGTCCCTGTCGCGGCGGGCTGACCCGGCGCGGGGCACGAGGTCGCCGCCGGGAGGGCACCGGCGGTGGCTGGGTGGGGTCCGCTCCGTTAAGCTGCGTGGGAAGGCCCGTGGGGCGGGCGCGTTCTGCGGCGAGCAGCGAGCCAGGCAGAAGTGTGCGAGCGGAGCGTTTGAAGCCCCGAGGGAGGTGGAAGTGCGGCGTTTTCAGGCAGAGAGTGTGACTAGAGTGTGATGGAAAAGGAGGTCAGCAGCGGAGGTCAGGGCGTCGCTGTGGGCAGGTGCGGGGTTGCTGAGAGGCCGGAGTTCGTTGTCACTTATTTACAGGGGACTCATGGATTTCTTTTTTGTTTAAGGGACTGGGTGTTGCTGTGTTGCCCACACTGGTGTGGAACTCCGGGCCTCAGGCAGCCCTCCTGCCCCAGCCTCCCAGAGCGCCGCGGTTACAGGCGTGAGCAGCCACACCCATCGCCGTGGATTATTTTGAATTGTCTTTTAAACGATGTGAACATGGCCCTTTACAACCCTCTAATAGCTTTCCGGACAGTATACGTGAAATGGCAAGAAGGAAATAAATCATCTGACATTACTCAGATTCAAGAGCTTTTTTTTTTTTTTTTTTTTTTTTTTCCCAATTGCCTTACGCGGTAGTAGTGTACTTTCTCAAGTGAGAGTGCCTTCAGTTGGCTTTTACCTAGCAATGTTGACAAGCATCAACTAAAAGGAAAATAATAATGATAGTTGCTGCCGTTTTATTCAGGACACGGGACAGACCCTGTGCCTTGTCGTATTTAATCCTGACAGAAGTTTGTCTTTCTTTTCTCATTGTTTTACTGGCGAGGAAACAGGCTAAAAGTGGTTAAGAAATCTTTATCCCAGGATCTCACAGCTCAATGGTGGAGAGTCAGGAGCTGAGTCTGGAGTCCCAGCTTTTAAGCTGCCCTTCACATCTCTGCAGTGACATGAGGCTTTCTTTTGGTTTTCACTTGGTGTATAGATCTCTGTTTACTTTTGGATACTGGTGTGGCCTCAACCAGGCATTATCTTCCAGAGGAAATCCTGCTTTATCTTTGGCCATAGCTCTGTTGTTCTAATTGCCGATAGGAACAACGGAAACTCGTAGTAGATGGAGCCGTGAATGTTCATAGATAGAATTCAGGTGTGGGGGAAGCAGACAGTCCTGTGGTGCCTCGAGTGGTGGTATGAAGTACTTTCCCAGTATGAAGTCCCTTGATGTTAGCCAGATGTGAACCTAGGGTTGTGTGTACCTTTCGAAGCTCTAAGTGATAGCTTTGTCCTGTTTCTTCTCTCTAGAGACATAGATGTGCAAGTGATCGTAAGAGAGACTCTGATTAGACTGATCTCTTTATTTAAAGAGTAAAATCACAAACTGGAGTCATGTTCCTAGTAACAGCTTTCTGTGGTACACCAGCAACTCCCTGGTCCTCCTCCTTGCTGCCTGGAGATCGGCTTTTGTCAGTAGTCTGTGGTAATCATGTCCTGAATGACTGAGTCATTCTAAATTTTAACTAAAAATCAGCCAAGACTGAGGATAGACCGAGATTGCCAGCTGATGGCCCTGCAGGGAAAAGTAGCACTGTCCACCAAACTCCACTTCAGGCAGTCAGTGAATTCTGTCTCGTTCTGGCTTCAGGAGGAGCCGCATGTAGACAGGAGCTTTACAGTCACAGTCACAGGGTCTCCATTCTGCAGGGCAGGGCTGCTTGGCCGTCAGAAGGGGAATTAAGTGAGCAGAATCTGTGATTACATCGGGCTCAGAGAGCTTGGTGTGGCTGGCCGTCACCGTGTTGGCGTGCCTTCTCGGCGGAACCTCAATGCCCTTGGCTGACGCTTCTCTTTCTTGGTCAGTGTGAGGCAGAGGCGTTGCCCCTGCGGGCTCCGCAGCAGTCCTCCGCGTGTTCTGCCTGTAACGGCTGAGTCCGGGCCTGCTGGCCGCCCCACCCTTCCTTCTGTTCAGGTGGCGGTGCCTGTCTGCGCTGTGGCTGAGATGCTGCTCTTCCCGTTTCTAACTCCCTGGACTCCCTCATTGGAGCTGAAGCTCTCAGATGTTCTCAGCTGGAATAGTTAAGAATTTTCTGTACTTTAAAAAGCAGTGTTGATGCTCCAGGAGTCAAATGCTTTATCACGTTGTTTTGGAATCATTAGCTTTGTAGCCGAGGAATGTACTCAGCAGAAGTGAAGATTTAACTGGGCGTATTAAACCCACATTGGCACTCTAGGAGTTGAAGTGTTCGAGCTGGTAGGAGGCAGATGTGGAACAAGTCTCTGCCTTCAAGGATCTCGCCATGTAACGGGCACACACAGCGGCAGATGTAACATGCTGTGGTGGAGGCCGCATGAGGTGTAGGGATGACGGGGGGAGGTGGAAGAGGCACTTTTTACCTGAGTGGCTAGGAGAGACTGCACACATGGACACGCATGGTGGTTTCCGTATCATCACCCCACCCCCACAAGGCAGAAGCAAAGACATAACAAAGCAAAGTGCAAGTTTTCTTTTGCTAGGAAATTTTCAGGAGGACCCGATTTACAGTGTATTGGTATTCAGTGGTGCAGTAGAGTCCACGTTCCACCATGTTTAGCCCTCTGTGCTGGCGTGTAATGTCAAGGCTGTGCTGAGGGGCTGCCGCGGCTGTCATTTCACTGCTTTGTGGGTGTCTTCTCCATCATTCCCGAATAGGTGTGGCTGACTGACCCCCAGCTCTCCCGGGGTATGTCTGGGATTGTAGCTGAGGGGCAGGCTCGGTGGCCATCAAAGTCGTTTTCCTGGGAAGTGGCTTTCACAGAGTTCTGTGCTGTGTGTAAGGATAGGTGTGTAGCTCAATTCCTGCCTAGGCTGTAAGGCCCACTTATCACCCACCCACCCGGAAAATCCAGGTATGAAAGATGTTACTGATGATTGCAGAGACAAAGTGAGACTGAGAATTCATTGCATACAGGAGTAGCTTTTTTTTTTTTTTTTTTGAGACGGACTTTCACTCTTGTAGCCTAGGCTGGAGTGCAGTGGTGCACTCTTGGCTTACTGCAACCTCTGCCTCCCGGGCTCAAGCAGTTCTCCTGCCTCAACCTCCCAAGTTGGGATTTACAGGCATGGGCCACCATGCCTGGCTAAGTTTTTTCTTTTTAGTTGAAATGGGGTTTCAATATGTTGGTCGGGCTGGTCTCGAACTTCTGACCTCAAGTGATCCGCCTGCTTTGGTCTCCCAGAGTGCTGGGATTACAGGTGTGAACCACCATGCCCGACCCCTCCCTTTTTTTTTTTTTTTTGAGGCAGAGTTTCCACTCTTATTCCCCAGGCTGGACTGTAGTGGTGCATTCTTGGCTCACTGAAACCTCCGCCTCCTGGGTTCCAGTGATTCTCCTGCCTCAGCCTCCTACGTAGCTGAGATTACAGGTGCCTGCCACCATACCCAGCTAGTTTTTTGTATTTTTAGTAGAGATGAGGTTTCACCATGTTGGCTAGGCTGGTCTGGAACTCCTGACCTCAGGTGATCTGCCTGCCTTGGCCTCCCAAAGTGCTGGGATTACAGGCGTGTACCTTCTGTGAGGAATTTGTAAGCTAGAAGTGAAGGTTGTATAATGTTTTTTTTTTTTTTTTTTTTTTGAGACGGAGTTTCGCTCTTGTTACCCAGGCTGGAGTGCAATGGCGCGATCTCGGCTCACCGCAACCTCCGCCTCCTGGATTCGGGCAATTCTCCTGCCTCAGCCTCCTGAGTAGCTGGGATTACAGGCACGAGCCACCATGCCCAGCTAATTTTTTGTATTTTTAGTAGAGACGGGGTTTCACCATGTTGACCAGGATGGTCTTGATCTCTTGACCTCGTGATCCACCCACCTTGGCCTCCCAAAGTGCTGGGATTACAGGCTTGAGCCACCGCGCCCGGCCGGTTGTATAATGTTTGTCATGAAAAATGTTAAATATGGAACATAGTGTAGGTTAGAATGAAACTGGTTTTAAAGGAATAAATGCCAAGATTTCTGCAGAATGAATAGAAGCGCATGCTAGGATCATATCTGTTGATAAAGAAGTGAGTTAATAATATCACCAGTACATTTCAAGGTGGATAATCAGTTTACAAATGTTGGGCAAAGTTTTCCTCCCCTGAATGTAGCCCAGCAGGGCAGGCTGAGAGAGCGCTAACCCAGCTAGAGAAGAACATAAACAGGGGCCCTGCTGTGAGATGCTCTTGCTGCACCCCCAGACCAAGGCCGCCGCCTTCCCGGGCGTCCTTGTACCTCCTGTGTAGTTACCGCATCCCGAGGCATCCACTTCTTAAATTGTTTGCTTCTCCAGATCGGAGCTGTCCAACCTGAAGGCTGGGGCTGCCTGCAGGAGCCATGGCCTTGGCACGGTCACTCCACAAGGCGAAGGAGCTTGCCCTGGGCACACCTAGGCCTGCCAGGCTCATGTAGAAGCCACCGGCCACATGTAGCTGTTCAAATTCAAATTAAGTACGTTTATTTTAATTTTTTATTTATCTTATTTTATTTTGAGACGGAGTCTTGCTCTGTTGCCCAGGCTGGAGTGTAGTGGTGCAGTTTCAGCTCACTGTAACCTCTGCCTGCTGGGTTCATGCGATTCTCCTGCCTCAGCCCCCCGAGTAGCTGGAACTACAGGCGTGTGCTACTACACCCAGATAATTTTTTGTATTTTTAGTAGAGATGGGGTTTCGCCATGTTGGCCAAGCTGGTTTTAATCTCCTGACTTCATGATCTGCCCCGCCTCGGCCTCCCAAAGTGTTGAGATTAAAGGCTTGAGCGACCGCACCTGGCCTTAATTTTTGAATTAAAAAGATTTTGTTGAGATGGAGTGCAATGGCATGATCTTGGCACACTACAACCTCTGCCTTCCAAGTTCAAATGACTGTCCTGCCTCAGCCTCCCAACTAGCTGGGACTACAGGTGTCTGCCACCATGTCTAGTTTTTTTTGTTTTTTTTTTTTAAAGACGGGATTTCACCATGTTGATCAGGCTGGTCTTGAACGCCCAACATCAGGTCATCCGCCTGCCTTCGCCTCCAAAGTGATTGGATTAAAGGGGTGAGCCACCACGCCCGGCCGCTCAGTTGTTTTTTTGTGTTTTTAGTAGAGACTGGGTTTCGCCATGTTGGCCAGGGTGGTCTTGAACTCCTGACCTCAGGTGGTCTGCCTGCCTCGGCCTCCCAAGGTACTAGGATTACACAGGTGAGGCACTGCGCCTGGCCCAAATTAATTGAGTTTAAATAACATTTAAAACTCAGTTCCTTGGTTGCCCTGTGTGACAGCTACATCACAGATACAGAGCTGCACTGTCCTGGCAGAATCGTCTTTAGCTGGCACCAACACAGATACTGGGCACCTTCAAGGAAGGGCCCAGTGAGGCAGGGTCAGCGTTTTATCCCCAAAACCTAGGATGATACGGGTGCTCACAGATTATTTTGCTGAATGAAAATGTCTGTATTTGTTTCTTGTACTTATGCAAATTGCGAAGCAAATGTTTATTTTGTAATTGATACTTGAACTCTGATGAGTAAAGTTTTATAATACATTTTTTCTCTTTCTCCTGTCAGGTATCATGGTATTAGCTGGTTTGACCTCAAGCCATTCGTGAGTCATTAGATCTTCTGAAAATGGGCGGCGCCGTGGGGCCCCTCCTAGGAGCTCGTGGCTGGTGCTGATGGCAGAAACCCAGCTTGCCTCGGGTTCCCTTGCAGCCCTGCAGCGTCCGCTCAGCAGGTGTCGTCCTGACCATGGACGGCACGTCGGCCGAGCACGAGGGCCTCCAGGAGGACAGATCCCACAGCAGCCCCTCGGGTCTCCCCGAGGCTCACCAGAGGTCCCCGGGCCCACTGGTGCCACCTGACCTGCAGGACAGAGCCCAGCGTAAGTCGTCAGGTTCCTCTGTGTGCTGGCCACAGGAGGAGACACTCGTTAGCTTTTCACATGATTCAAAGTGTGTTTTAGTCACTGGATGATGCTGCCTTTAGATCAGGCACCATTCCTACTACACAGACTCCGTGAAACACCTGTGGGGCAGCAGCAGCGTTTCCCTGAAGGCGTCTGTGGGTCTTTGTGATGTTCCTGCCTCGAATTCTACCTTTTTTTTTTCTTTTTGAGACGGCGTCCTGCTCTTTCGCCCAGGCTGGAGTATAGTGGCATGATCTCGGCTCACTGCAACCTCCGCTTCCCGGGTTCAAGTGACTCCCTCTTGCCTCAGGCTCCCAAGTAGCTGGGACCATAGGCGTGCGCCACCACGCCCAGCTAATTTTTGTGTTTTTTTGTTTTTTTGTTTTTTTTTTTTGAGATGGAGTTTCGCTCTTGTTACCCAGGCTGGAGTGCAATGGCGCGATCTCGGCTCACCGCAACCTCCGCCTCCTGGGCTCAGGCAATTCTCCTGCCTCAGCCTCCTAAGTAGCTGGGATTACAGGCACACACCACCATGCCCAGCTAATTTTTTTTTTGCACCTTTTAGTAGAGACGGGGCTTCACCATGTTGACCAGGATGGTCTCGATCTCTCGACCTCGTGATCCACCTGCCTCGGCCTCCCAAAGTGCTGGGATTACAGGCTTGAGCCACCGCGCCCAGCTAATTTTTGTATTTTTAGTAGAGATGGGGTTTCACCATGTTGGCCAGGATGGTCTCGATCTCTTTACCTCGTGATCTGCCCACCTTGGCCTCCCAAAGTGCTGGGATTACAGGCGCTCACCACCACGCCCAGCTAATTTTTGTGTTTTTAGTAGAGATGGGGTTTCACCATTGGCCAGGCTGGCCTTGAATTCCTGGCCTCAAGTGATCCGCCCACCTTAGCCTCCCAAAGTGCTGGGATACAGGTTTTGGCCGCTGCACCTGGCCCTTTTTTTTTTTTTGAATAAAACAGATTACGGTGCCCTGCGTCCTAGGGTGGTGGTGAGGGTTTGAAGACATGGTGACATCAAGCGCAGGTGCTCGGTGCACGTTGGGTGCTGGTGGCCACCTCCGTCGTCGTCGTCGTGATTTGTCCATCGTTAGGCTTGTGTTTGGAGCAATATAGTCTCACTGTTTGTTGGACCTTTTTGCTTCTAGATTTTTGTTTTTTTAAGTGCAGCGTGATGCTCAAAAAACTATTTTGTTATATAAACTGCCAGGTTTAGAAACTTCTGGACATATAAATTCATTGGAAAGTAGTATTAACCCAATTAACTTCTTTCTTTGAGACTGGGTCTCATTTTGCTCTTTCACACAAGCTGGAGTGCAGGGCGTGACGAGGTGTGGTGGTGGGTGCCCGTAATCCCAGCTACTCGGGATGCTGAGTTAGAAGCGTTGCCTGAATTGGTGGGTGGAGGTTGCAGTGAGCTGAGATCGTACAGCTGCACTCCAGCCTGGGCAACAGAGTGAGACTCCGTCTCAAAAGGAAAAGGAGGCTGGGCACCGTGGCTCACGTCTGTAATCCCAGCACTTTTGGGAGGCCAAGGCGGTTGTCTCAAAAAAAAAAAGAAAAAAGGAAACGTTACTATCGTTATTACGTCAGTCCGACAGCCAGAGTGTGACGGCATGGAGGGGAATTCACCTTGCAGGGAGGACGTTGACTCCAGCGGGCCTGTGGGCCTTTTCCTGGCTACCCTGCCTGTGGGAAGGGGCCCATGGCCCTCGCTTCTCAGAGTGAATGCCTTTGTGGGGTGAGAAAGTGTGGTGCTCGTGAGTCAGGATCCTCTTCTCTCCTACCCAAGCTGCGTGTCTGAAAAATGACGTCGTCGTGTTGTTAAAGCCATGATGGTCCAGCGTGCTCTGTCTTTCTAGGTGCTGAGGTAAACAGAGCTTCCACGGAAGGAGAAAGCCCGGATGGAGCTGGCCAGGGAGGCCTCTGTCAGAACGGGCCAACGCCACAGTTCCCGGACCCTCCATTGTCTCTGGGTCCCGTCACAAGCCCAGTGGGCCCTGATGCCTCTCCAGGTGTGGCTGGTTTCCATGACAACCTAAGGAAGTCTCAGGGAACTAGTGCTGAGGGCAGTGTTAGAAAAGAAGCTTTGCAGTCTCTCAGACTCAGTCTTCCTATGCAAGAAACGCAACTGTGTAAGCATCCCTTCCCACCGCTTTTCCCACCTCCACGTCCGCGTCCGTCAGCACCTCAGGGGCAGCTGTGTCCCTGTGCCTGCCGTGTGCCCGCCTCGTCCCCGGCAGGGCAGTGTGTTTAGCAAGGAGAGCTTCACTTGAGAGAGCGAAGATGCAGCTGGAGCCGGGGCTGCGCTACGGTCTGACTGGCCGCGGTGCTGACGTTCTCGTGTTAAGAGCCAGCCTGCATGTCCTGTGTCACCCAGGTGCTTGGTCAGCAGACCGTGGGCATCCGTCTGTTTTTGTTTCTTCTTAGAGTCAGGATGTTGCTGTCGCTGAGGCTGGAGTCCAGTGGTACAATCAGAGCTTACTGCAGCCTCTGCCTCCCAGGCTCAAGGGATCTTCCTGCCTCTGCCTTTAGGTAGCTGGGACCACAGGTGCCTGCTACCGCGCCTGGCTAATTTTAATTTATTTTGTAGAAACGCAGTCTCACCGTATTGCCCAGGCTGGTCTAGAACTCCTGGGCTCAAGTGATCCTTATACCTTGGCCTCCCAAAGTGCTGGGATTATAAGCATGAGCCGCCCCGCCTGGCCTGCAGTGTGTTTTTAAAAATTTCAAGCTAAATAAAAACAACAAAACGCCCCCCAAAAATTACTGAAATCAAATTGCATTTCACATGTTTATTTTTAAAAATTCCGGCCGGGCTCGGTGGCTCAAGCCTGTAATCCCAGCACTTTGGGAGGCCGAGGCGGGTGGATCACGAGGTCGAGAGATCGAGACCATCTTGGTCAACATAGTGAAACCCCGTCTCTACTAAAAATACAAAAAACTAGCTGGGCGTGGTGGCGCGTGCCTGTAATCCCAGCTACTTAGGAGGCTGAGGCAGGAGAATTGCCTGAGCCCAGGAGGCAGAGGTTGCGGTGAGCCGAGATCACGCCATTGCACTCCAGCTTGGGTAACGAGAGCGAAACTCCGTCTCAAAAAAAAAAAAAAAAAAAAAAAATTCTGAAAACGCGCTGCTGGCATGTAAGTTGAGAAGTAGCATGTAAAAAAGCCTAGTGTCCTGTTTTTTCTCAGCTTACTTTATTTGTTTACTTTTGGGTTCCCGAAGTTACAGATATGTGAGCTCAGGCCCGGGTGCCTGTGTGGCAGCAGTGCTGGGTCTGCGTGCATGCCTTTGTGGGATGCCCCCTCACCTGTTCCTGCTGGCACCTGGCCCTGAGCCTGTCGCCTGCGTTGGTGTTTAGTTGAAACACTGCTCATTTTGACAACTTATGTATCTGCCTGATGGCCATAGGCCTGAATTTGCCAGGTAGGGTTTAGCCATCTGGACCACTTTGCTTTCTGAAAAGGACTAGAGATCTTTTCA